TTTTGTCCATATATGCTTTTGAATACAGTGTTTTTGTCTAGGTAAAATGTCGAGGTCTGTATGTAACCCGCCCTCGTTGCATGTCTTTCTCATAAATTCCAAGTTGAACATGCAAAGCACAGTTCGCTTTTTTTATTAAACCAAACAGCAATTTATCTATCTATTGAAACAAGAATTAATCTATCTATTCCTTTTTCAGTGTCTCTTATCAATTATAATCGAATCACTTCGTTATTGTAAGTTTTATAGGATCAAGACTCCAAGCATCGTGATTGTTCAGCAGTTTTACAATAACTTGTAGTAGGATTACTGTTTAACCTATTGATAAATACACTAACATCGTGTCTTGACATAATATTTAGAGGATAAATATTCAATAACTCGAATACTAGGTTATCTTCTTGTGGACACTTAGGGTTTTGATAAACAGCTTGCGTCGATACGACCATCGTTCTATTTGCGTCCCCATGTGAGCAGATTTACAGTGTGTTATTTCCAACTTCGATATTTTCATTTTAGATAATTACGTTAATGAATTACAAAGCAGTTTGAATAGTAATGTTTGCTACTGTCGATGTAACAACAAAGAAAAATATGCTCTTCAATATCGGTTTGAGCTCGAAAAAGATTGGAATGTTGATTGGAAAATCTTTTTAACGAGTTCCCTTTGTTACTTTAATTCGTGCAAATCTTATTATATTTTTTTCCGTTTATTTTCTAACCATTTCTCTGTTTTACAATTGAATATCTTATTTAAAATGGGTATAAATGTTTTTCGAGTGAAAGCGCGCAGAGATTAATGTCTCTGGTTTTTGCAGATGAAATTCATTTTCCTAATTTTAATGGGCTATTCTTGAGATATTTTTTTAAAAATCTATGAAATAAAGCACATTTTCCCCTATTACTGGTTTTGGCAAGAAACCTTTTGACATCTTTGCTATATATTGGCCATTTGTATAAAAAGAAGCTAAGAGCTTTGTCACAATGAAATCGGGTGTTACCCCTTAATTCATATGTATTTTATGAGGCGATCGGTCTTATCTCGCAGTCAAATGGTTTCTTTTTGTAAGCTTGTAGATTTTGATCACATTTCCCACCTTTTTGACTCAAATAATCCATCAAATATCACTTAATTGTAGATAAATTCGATTTTCATCAGATGAAAGTTTTGTGTTACTATCTCTTGTGACTTTTGATCCGACATTTTTTTTGCGTAATTCTAGGAAGTTGAAGAAATCGGCCTGCATGTCTCTATTGATATAACTTCTAAGACAAATCTACCTAGACATACACAGCCAGAAACGTTTTATAATGTCATTTTAGTTAAATCGCGTTAAAGATAAATGATAAAATAGTTTTGCTATAGATCGTTTTATCAGGCGAGACGCAGGAATCAACTTTATTTTCAATGAGAGCATTTTTCTTACATGCAAATGAGACAACGAAAAAAGATCCCTAAATCTTTATATTTTGCTTTTTTCTGTGCGTATTTTTGATATTGACAAACTGTCGGCATGGTTGTYCGCCGGCTGGTTTAGACATTTTAAATATTCTATATAGTTTTGTAGTAATTTGCAAAAAAATAGATAAAAATCAAATGTCGGCGTAACAGCAATGGATCACACTGATGTCGGTCGAGCCTCCGAATTGAATTGAATTAGCAATCCATTCATCAACCGGACTGAAATTGGATTTTCGTTTTGAGTAGACTGTGTTATCGCGATTTCCCCCCCAACTTTGTAGATAGAAAGATAAGAAGGCTATTCAACCATTCATAATGGAGTTGTCCCTTAACACTTTTTCTTGAAGAAAAATATTGTGTTATAATGACACTAAATATGGAGAGCTTAGTTCGCATACAAGGATATTTATCATGTTAGTTTATTGCCCAGAAAAGAATAAACTTTGGAAAACTTGTGTATACAAACTAACAACACTTTTCATCTTTTTTGTTGATATGATGAATCAAGATATGTTTTTTTTAATTTATATTTATTTTAATCAAGTTAGGTCGTGCTTTTAAATGAGTAAAATGGGTACAACAAGGTTTTTTTCCACTCTCTTTAAGAGCTTAGCCACTTTCTAAACGTAAAACGATAAGCATAAAAAGTCTGTTCAGTGAAGTATTTTCTGTCCTGAGCCATGTAGGCGGCTTTTCTCCTAACCGAGGCAATACTCGGAAGTTTAATGAAAAGGAACTTAGAATTATCAGTGGACGAGATAGCATCTGAAGGCCTATTTCGCCTTTTTGCACGATTCTCAGAACACTCTTAAGATATGGACGTATGACGGACATTTAGGCCGAGTACAGCGCCGCCAACTGACAATTCATTTCCACTATGCGAGATAACGGAAAACCATTCTGAGCATGCGCTGTGTGATATTTACCACATCGGGTTTTGCAATGATCACAAGCTAAATGAAAATAGCAAAACTACTGAAATCAAATATACATGTATAGTATAAATATATCGATGATTGAAACATATCGATTTTCTTCCTCGTGTCTATATTCTTAAACAACAATTGAGCATTTTCTTTTTATTTCAATAAGCAGTAGATCGGTCCCTTTGGAAGTTGAAAGTGGACTCCAAAAAAGAAACATATCTCTTTATCTAAATTTCCAAATTTGAAAGCAAAATAGACGCCTACGTTGGGTTCCAAGAGCGTGTAAATTTTTTATCAGCAATATTTGAACAGCAAAATTAAAAAATAAGACAAGGAACTGTAGAACAACAAAGATATAATCGCTTCGATCTCCCTGAATTGATTACAGTTTTCTACAAGGTTTACCTTCGGCGAAAATAAAGTTTTTGGCAGCTGATATATTGATCAAGTTTAAACTACAGCACATGATTTACTTGAGCTGATTTCATTCATGTCGTTAATCTTTTGGATTTGGTTAAAATCGTTTTACTCGAGTTTAAGTATTCGCAGCAAAAACAGCGAATGTTTTGCGACAATCAAAGCATGGCGTTTTATCTTTGCCATACAAAATTCAAATTTCATTTTACATTTGCAAAGACTACAATATAATTCTATTTTTTAATTATCGTTGTGCTTTGTTATCTAATTCTTATTTGAAGTGTGTACATTTTTGAATCCATTTTTGAAGTCTTCATTCTTCAAGGATGAAATTATTAGAAAATGGCGGATATATTCAATGAGTTGAAACATTTGATAGCTGGAAGTATTTTTTGTCTTTAAAAGTAAATYAAGACCCGAAAACCGATCAGAACGTTGTACATTGCAAATTCTCTGTTAATTAACAATTTCCATGGTATTTTGTAGGTATTTTGAGATCATCTTGTAAAAAAATAATTTCTCTGTTTATTCTTTATTCGTCGTGTTCAAGGGCGGTGGTGTAGTAGGTCTCAAAAACAAATAGAACGCTTGATCAAGGTCTTTTCGAACTTAAGGATTCAAAGTTGTTGTGGTTTTCGACAGAAATACACAAGCTCTCGATAAGATCGAACCTAAGGGTTTGTTATGAAGGACGGAGTTTAAGAGCCGACTAACCACTAGTTAACTTAGATAGAAATGAAAAATAAACCACCTTGATTACACCATGCTCTCTGTGTAAAGACTGAATCAAAAACAAACCTCCGCGCAAGAAAAACACCCCAGAAGGGATAGTTTTTTGTCCTTTGACTGAAAAAAATCTATTTCCAGTCTTGTTAATGACCCATTACCGAAAACCCTAAAACATGGAAATTTGACCTGATCGCTACTGTCTGATATCCCCCTAATAAATTACGTTAAAACACACCATGAACTTTTTCTCCTCGCGTGAAATTTAATACTGACGATGTACTTAAAGTCCAGCAGGTGTACATCGATTTTTAGGTATACAAAATGCTTTGAAAATATTTAAGTGCATCTTTATTAGGGAGTTTTAGGGTAAAACACGCTCGATGGGTTTTAATAGCACTTTTGAACGATATACCATTCGAGCTACATTTGAACCATTAAAGTGAAACGACATAATTGCCTTAAAACACCAAAGGAACTGACTATGTTTTCAACAGTATTTCACATAAGGGTTCGGCTGACTTTGTTGCCAAGGCTCTGTGACAGAGTTGTAAGAAATTGAGCCACGCTCGTGGCATCTTGGAGCTTTAACGAGAACTTAAGTTGTGGAAATATTTGACAACAATAGCTCTCAAAGCTGTTGGAATTGAATTACTACGGTGAAGAGTAGAAAGTGATTTGATTATAAATAAAAGAATCTTGTAAAACCTAGCAGTTAGATCGACGGCAATTTATAATTATTATATATTAGACGGAAAAGATTATTACCGAAGAGATTTCTATGGAAATAAGTTAAAATTAACTCGTTCCGTTGAATTCAAGAAACCATTTTCGTCCTTTAAAGTTGACTTTGGATGAAAATTAAAAGATTGTACTTCTAGTGGCTTCGTAAACAGAAACATTTTGCGCTAATACAGAGCGAGAAAATCGCGCCAAAAGTCGACAAATGTGAATACCTGATTATCGCCGTCCATTGTTGCGAGCATCGCCTCTCAAGCACACCTCAGGACTCTAAACCCCGCGCTGAAAACCTCCCTTTTTGATAACAGCATTCGCGCTAAATAACTGCCAAGTAAACTACCATTCAACAAAATTACTATCATCTATCTTGATAACTTGGGGATAAAATTCGCTGATAGTCGTCTGCTCTCTAATCTTTAATCATTACGCACTAATTTATTCTTTGCTAGTGACTTTTCTAAGATGGAAATCTTGCTTGATTTTTCAAGTGATTCTTAGAATTCGTTTGATAGCGAGTTTTATTTAGGCACAGATCATATCGGGCTGTTTTGAGATTTTCCCTTTTTTGTATCTGTCCAGCGACAGCAAGAAATGTCGTGACAAAACCTTCTTTCTTCGGTTCTTTAAACCAATCCGAGGAGAAATCTATACCCCTAAATACAATAAGATAGAAATACCTCTAAATCTTACAGTTGTAAAAAGGTTTAGCTTTAGAAAATATCACATACTTTTCTACGTGGAATGATTCTTTATTTTATTAATAATACAATAATACAATAACATCGAGAGAATCGAGAGTATTTCCTCAAAAACGGAAAGAGTCTTGGTCTTTCTCTTTCCCCCTCGACTCTTAGTATAATAGTTTTTTTCTTTTTCTAATGCGAACGAAGAGGGTTATTTGTTAACTGACTATTCCTAACGTCGGAGATCTACAAGTCCAATGTTTGTCTCCGAGCTTTGAGTTATCTCGAGTTCGGCGATTTCTAGATATATATATATATATGCGTATAAAGATTTTTTATATAGAGATATTTACATGCTGGTATCTTTTTGGATTGCAATACTACTCGGTTGGATGATATATGAGTCTTAGATAAAGCTAATTACACAAAAATATCAATGAAATCAAAAACCAGGATTTTATCTTGCGCACAAAACATTTATCTCGTTGTTCGTTAAATTTTACAACAGTTTCGCTCTTATCAAGAACGATTTTCCAATATTTAACGGTGCTGTGAGAGTCCACCGATCTTTTGCGTCTCGTAAGTGAAGGACGCGTTAGCGATTCTTTATTGCGCGCCTTCAGTCATTCAGAACAAGACCTTTTTCACATCCAAAGTGTTTTTTTTAGAGTCATGGTCACTGCGAGATGGCCTTCGTAATACTGCAAAGTGTCTTTGCACTTTTGTCAAACTCGATTTCTACATCTTTTCTCGTTTGGGCGTATTGTCGCAACGAAACTAGTGACTACAGCTATACCCAAAGCAAGACAAGTTCAGGTCCTTTTGCTCACGACGAATTAATAGATATCGAAGAATTGTAGCTAGACGAGGAACTGCTGGCCGGTACTACAGGGCTGTACAAACCAGGATGAATACTAGGTAATCCTGGCATGGACGGTCTACTAAACGCTGTGGTATGTATCCCATTTGGGCCGACCATTGGACTCAGAATGCTTGAAGATATCACACTCGTTTGGTTCATTAGCGGGCTTGACGAACTAAGTCCCATACGATTCTCATCGCCGAGTTTGGGTTCTTGCTTGACGCATTTATTTTTATTTTTGCTTTTTGAGGAAACTTTTCGATTTCTTGTTTGAATACCGTCTTTTTTCATGGACAATGGGCGATTTACCTGAAAGACAATGTGCGAAAACGCAATCAGTTATGACTATCTCAAACGCTGTAAATTTATTGTTGCAATTAGAGGGTGTTCAACTACGGTTCCTTGGCAAATTACGATCGTAAAAGTGTCATTTACTGAGGCAAATTCAATCAATGCTCACCCCATAATGGCCACTCTATAGGTTTAATGCAATCAAAATTAGACTTTGGAAGTCTAATTTCCAGAACTCGTAATAACACACTAAAATTAATTCCGCAATGATACAAATTAATTTTTTGTATTAATACGTGAAACCTTACACGATTTTTTCCGCAACAATTAGGAGTTTTTCTAAAGTTTTAATCTGTAGTTACATTGAGTCTTGTACCGAGAAAAGTTTCTGTTTAGTGCTCAAGTTACATGGCAACTGGATGTGCCTAAACTCGCTTGGTACGTTGTTGCTAGACACTTGACGAGGACAAAGGAAAGACCTAGGGATCTGTGTTGTACAATTCGATGGCATAAGAAACGTTTATCGAAAGCAGGTGGACGAAGGATGGTATCACTACTCTTTCTCTCAAAGAAGTTTCTTTTTTAAAAAAGAATAACAATTGAAAATAAACCCTCTAGTGTGTCTTTCTTTCATTGTAATATCATAAACTTCAAACATGTATGCTTCCGCTCTGTTCTTGTTCTAATAGAAACAAAACCGACGAGACTTTGGTCGTTCGAGACTGTTTACTCGAGTTAAAACGACGTTAATCTGATCAATAACATGAACTATAAACTTTATTTGACGAAGCTCCAAGCGTCAGACTTTAGCTGACATACTAGACAAAAAACGAGCTCCCAAACAAAGCGAACTTGAATCCTGTATTCAACTTAAACGACAAACACAAATGTGTTGAGCAAAGCACGTAGTTAAAATACAGTGCAATTGTAGAATTGAATCAACAGAAACTTCACTTGACATTCTCTAATGCTTATTACTCTAGAGGGAACTATTTTCTTAGGCGTACAAAGAAGGCTATTAATTTGATATTTAAACTTGCAGGTGAAATGGTATATCACCGAGCAAAAAGCTGAAATCATTCTTCCTGTTTGTTGTCGATCTCACAAAACGTCAAATTAAATACTGTTAAGTAGTTCGGTGCACGTGGGGGCTAGGTAAACTCGAATGCGCCATTAATCATAGAGATGACCATGAAAATCATGTATTTAGCGCTTCTTTAATATCTGTCAGCATTGGGTCTGAAGAATAGTTCGACTTCCTATTTGCAGTGAGATGTTTAAATGAAATTAAAATCGTCAATAACACCAATAAGACGAGTTTGTTTGTAGACAAAAGAGATAACTGAGTTATACCGAGAAAAAGACTAAAAAAGCTACAAAGAGCAGCATTGGTTTGTAACACGGAAATATGGGAAAGAAAGACAGGAGGCTTTAGTACAAATAATCGAGCCGGATATTGCGATTTAAATCACCCAAAGTTAAAGGCCTTAATTGGTAAGACTTTGTAATGCCGTATAATCGAAATAACGGCTTTACTACCTCCCCAGCTGCCAAAATTTAACGACCATGGCGAAACTTCTTGACGTGTCCGCGAAATTCGGTTTTCTAAATTATTCATTCGTTTAATATTTCTCCAAAAGTGCTCTTAAAATAATGGCGCACTGTCGAGGCAAATAGTTTTCGCTGTAATCCAGCACTAACACGCAATAAAATAAACCAAAAAGAAAAGGTTTTATAYGGAAAATATATATTTGTTTATCGAGAATGTCCCATTAGGAGTAATAATTTAGCATCGATAGTCCAAGCTTATCACACAATATCTTATCTATGCTCTCTATTAGACTCTTCTCATTTACTTTCACCTCAGAAAAAAAGAGTTCCCCCAAACCACAACGTCCTCTAACGAACGATGATCTATACTTACAGCGTGTAGTTTCCAATACAATCCACAAGCATTGCACACCGGGTCTCCATTTTGGTTACGACGCCAAAGTGTAGTTTGTGTTGTATGGCAATTAGCGCAAGACGTTCCTGCGCGACGGGCAGCCGACTGGGAGAGAGAAAAAGAAACAAAATTAAACTCCAAGCAAATAAATTGAAAAAACACATACATTGTAGTTGAAGTAACACTTTGTGCAATTATTAAATCCACTCCGCAAATCCCGCTAAGCTAAAGCAACGAGGTGTTCAACGAAAACATTATTTCGTATTTAGTCTAATGAGGATAGTAAATAAAACGGTATTTATGACGGTTTAATTTGAAGTGAATTCCCCGGTTCTCAGGATTGTGTTAACCACTTCGTAAGCATACAATTACGCTTATAACTCAATCCCAGAAAATAATATTCGATTATTCTAGTTGTTTTCTGCAGGAGGGCAGTTCTACGATAGCGTGTTGTCAGGATTTCAAATAACATTCAACAGATTATAAAGCAAAGCCAGTGAAAAGTCTTCAAGTTTCAAGTCTTCACTGTCATCACTCCGGCGCGCTATCAATCTACGGGTGTGGTACGATCAAAAAATATCTATCCCCAACATGATAAGATTCTGAATCTCAGGAAAACTTAAATATCGATATCTAGAACTCACTAGTCTTCTCTTTGGCTTGATAAGCGGACGACTCGATCCGTTCATCTTATGGTATAACCCACACGCGTTACACAAGTAGTGGCCAGATCCGTCTCTTCGCCATAGCGGCGTAGAAGTTGCGCCACAGTTAATACACTCTCGTCCATCTGCTGTGAATAAAACACACAAAAAACACAAGAATAAAAAGCAATTCTCTAAATCTAAGTTCATGTAATCCCTAGTCGAGGTGTTCGTAATAGTGTGTGTAAAATAGACTAGTGATATCTAATTATTCTATTTTGCCCTCTTCAATACTGTATTACACCATTGTTCTATTAGTAAAGTGAGGATCTCCCTAATGACAAAGTGTTAATACTATAGTTAGCGGGGAAAAAGCCGAAATAGTCCTAGTTAGCAAAAAGGAAAGTGACCCCCAGGTTTTCTTTTGGGAATACGAATACAAGCCAAACAAACTGCCAATAAAATTTCCAATTTTTCTTTCCGTTTTTATGTGCTATTGATTCGTTTTACTCAAAATGGAGTGGGATTTTTTTTGTCTTCAACAACATTCAATGTAACCAAGACTGCGTAGAAAACAAAAGCCGTTAACAGAACAAAACCTCTGTATCCAGGCACTTGGAAATATTCATTAAAATGTCCAAAAATAAATATACTGCCAATCGTTGTATAAAATGCTGTTTTCGTATCACTAAAAATTGCTAATACTTCTACAGGAAAAAAATTTGATTCGTATTCACTGGGGCTCGCATTCCACTAACCTGAATTTGATCGGCTCTTGGTTCTCGTTCGACTTAAGTTTCTATTAGCCATTAATCCCGCCAACCCCGGCCCAAAAGAAGGCATATTAAGGTCTGAACCAAAGTATTGAGGAAGAGCTTGAGGATAACCTGCAAACGGTGGTACATCAGCGCGTAATGGTGTCCCGTACTGGATTCCTTTCAGCCTCTTGTCATCACTCCCATAGCTGAAGAAATCAGTTGTTAATGTCCCTCCTTCCAAGCTTGTTTCCTTCGGTGGAGTTGGAGGAAAAGAGAAGAGATGGCTGCTGGAATGAGATCCAGAAGCAGATGACGATCCGCTCGCAGACATCGGACTTGGACGATGACTTTGTTGGAACGGTGGACACCAAACAGAAGCAGGATTTGGTGTTGAGCAGTGTAGTGGAGCTGGTTTGCTTTCGATCCACTGTATTGGAGTATGAAAATGTGGTCGGCAGACCTGGCTGCTTGGTACGCGTGCTGTAGGTAAAAACACTCTGCTACAGCTTCCTTGAGGGCTGGCTTGATTCTGTGGGTCTTGAAACGCTGTTGCTCCGTGCGCCGCCATTTGATGGCACATAGAAGGCCTATACGTTCTTGTACCTGACGCGTACGGCCAATTCGCTGCGTTTCCAGAACCGTCAAGATGATGAAAAAATACGTCTACTTCGTCAGGCGGCAGGAGTTGTGTAGGCTCGACGATGTTTATATTTGGCTGCTGTCCTCGTTCGKTGTTAGATGATCCGTGGGGATTTTCGTGTTGACTGTTAACGATGGGATGACTTATCCAGCGATGCTCTGAATTGACTGTTTCCATTGGCACTAAACACGGTATACCTGGTGAAGAACATACATACAACGTGTTTACAGTCAAGTCCAAGTGAACCAGCGTATTTATCAGGTAATGCAGCTGGAAACAATAACGGCTAAATAAAAGGTGAAAGGAGTTTAATTGTGACCCAAATTATTCTCAATGGGAATTTCATAGTTGACTGCAAGACGTCAGCAGAACAACATACATTATAGAGCGGAAGTCCCCATTCATGGCTCAACATGCGAAATGGAGTTCCGCAGTTTATCTGATCACTACAAATCTACAAGACATATTCAAAGAGATATGAATTTCTTCAGGGGCCTCTAAGACATTAAAAGGAGATCTCCGAGCGGTAGGAATGATAGTAGATTGATAAGAGATTTGGGAATATAAAAACACTATAAAACTTATATACAAGCTACGCTTATCTCAAGTTGACTGGCCCAGACTTAGCACTACTCCACAAACGTTTCCATGCCAAAAAAAAAATCAAAATAAATAAATGTGTATAATTATCGCACCTAAGTTGGGTTTTCGAACTGTTGTCTTTGAAGCCTTGGTTGTTTTGGATCCAAATGGCGCGTTGACTACTGAAGTGGTCTAAGTCACACACTCGGCGCGCAAGTCTAATGATAATGTCTGGTTATGTTCAAACACTATTTGAAAGGTTTGGTAAGCCAAGCTAGCCAAAGTTATCAATCCCGCTAGGTCGGCGCCTCTCAGCCTGTCAATGCACGACAGGTCAACGGCATAGCCAATCAACGCTCGAGTACACTGACATTACGTTTGATCGTCACTTTTATTAAATGGTTGATTGGTGGATAAGTGAAACAATCGATTCAGTCTTTGAAACGAACTGTCACTCAAACGATTGGACATCTTGTAAACTTTTTGTCCAAAAAAATTGTACCTCACAAGATACAGCCCCTTTGAGGCACGTGATACACATTGGTACATGCACTATGAAGGTTGGTGGTCTTTGCGTAAGACGCTGTGTGCGCAAAACCAATTATTGCTACCGGGGTTTACAAATTAAATCTTTTAGTCGAAACTCCATTAGTTATCGTTTTTAAATCAACCTTTTTGACTTGTCTCGATTATGTTTGTTATCATTATATACTCTTCCAGAAGTGATTATCAACTTGCGTTTGACCAGCTATGTGCCAAGTTGACAATTTGACAGCTTACAGTGAATGATCTTTATGGCACTCGAGTTAGAAAACAACTTATTGTGTCCCTTTGACAACCAGAAGTGCTATCTATTTGCTTTGCCAAACACGCCTAGGGGAGAACCGTCTGATATTTTGTCGCTATTGTTTCAAAACTTTACATTCTGTACTCTTCAAATAAAAGAATTCCAACTAGGCAAAAGTTCGTAGGAATATACAAACAGTACAGGTGGAACGTGACCAATGATAAAAGAAAGATAGCGAAGATAACTCATCGCACGAATTCCGCGCGCTGCGTGCCGTTTTATTTGACTCTTTCAGACCAATGACAAAAATCGTTTTATAAAAGGCTTAAGCACCACTAGAAGTAATTGGTGCCAAGATACCGCATCTCTCAAATGCGCGCGTGGACATTTCAGTCGGCCCAGAAACTTCGCGAGTAAATTTCGAAGGCACGATAGGAATACGGTGTTATCTGACTCTCTAGAATTCCACCTGATAACTGATTTACGTAGATGCATTTTTGCTCGCAGACATTTCGACGCTCTTGTGACAACCTGTTTAAACTAGATTGCACGATGTATGATCAGTTCAAATAAACTTACACACGCGTCGCCGCGCGACGAAACGTAACAGGCACACAAGAGCTTACTTTGCTTAGACAACAGTATTAGATACGAAGGATAATATTGATTTTAACGCGATCCTGATCTGGCAAAGGTTCATAAACAAGCAATAAACATAATCGCTTTAATCACCGTGATTACATACAGCACATAAACGAAATCGAGATAACAGTAAGACGATCGCCCAATTTACACTTTAACACAAGAACACCAATGACAATCCAGACAAAACCTACTAACAATACTCCGCACTGTTCCAAATGAACGACTCCAAGGGGTTGCTCAACAGGAACGCAACCTTGGTGCGCGCCGGGAATATTAATAAACACACTAGTCCAGCTGGAAGAGTACGACAAAAGAGATGAAAACTGTACTATTTATCTAGTGTGACCCGGTCCCTACTTCCACGTGTCAAATACACCAAGATACCATCAAACACCCTTTCTAAAGATTCTTCACAAGTTTGCGCGTCTAATCGCGTCGAAATCTTTGACTCTAACGTTCAATGTTTTCTAATAACAAAGTCTAGCTTTCAATTTTATTGAACTTCTATTTGATTTGTTCCCCAGTGATTCTACTTCAGCCTTATCGGAATTCAATTAAGACTGTAGTAATAGCTTATAAATGTTTAACCAGAGTTCCTGTACATAAAACGGCTGAGATAATAGTTTTAAACAACGAATAGTTCTTGGATAAAAAAGACAGGAAACGACCGATATTAAACCGAACAAAGGACAACATTTCTTTGACAAGAGTTTGAATTTCGAAGCCTGTGGTTTACTCCCTATGGGGACGAACGCCAAGGGGTGTTGTATTCGTTGTACAATTTCTACATAAACAAAATGGCGACAAAGGCTATACTTTGTGCTGATCAAATATTAAAATAGCACGGTTTTTTAGGGTCTCTCTGTGGCAAACCAGTGGTCTAATCAATTATGCTACTGGGCTAAAACACAAATGCTATAATTCTACGGTACATTAAAACATATGTGAGCTATCAGCCAGTACTCTCAACAGCAATTTCTACACATAAGTGAGCACGCGACCAGAAACAAAGAAGCTAGAAAGAGCTGTATATTCAACAATAAACAGAAAATATTTACCGCGTCTTGTCTGGTACAGTAGTGGGCAGAGACTGCCCAGTTTACAGCAATCCCTGGAAACACACACTGCTGTCATGTCAACCACAAAATTGTAACTTTTTTGCTTAATCTCAAAACACTGCCGAGCAATAACCACGAAGCCACGGCGCGTTAAGACCCGTTCCGAATCAATCGCTCTGATCAACTAACTATATCTTACATACACATGTAGTCTTAAATCCTTTAAAACACATATGCATTGGTTTCTGAGCATCGAGATAACTCCCGAGAGGATGAGGTTATCAGCGCGATACTTCGATTCTGTAGACTTTGTGTACACATTTGTGATGAAAATCTATCTATGTAATCGCGGCGATAGCAGATCGGGGTATTGCTATTAAAATACTGAATTGTCTCAAACGATAGATCATAAAGATTTTAAAGAATTGAATATCAAAAGAAGACCTATTTTCAGTTCGCACGCCCACTAAACACAGGCAGTCATCAAGGGTTGGCGATCAGTTTCGGCGTCAGAGGTTCTACGATGAAATATTTCTGACTTCTGAGCAAGAGCGATAATTTGTAAAGTTTTCTTACAGGAAACCGCCAAGTTTTTGATCAGATATCGCGATAGATCTTGTGCAAATATAAAGCGTCCTAGAAAAGCCTATAAGATCTTCATCACTGAACATGAATGCATGCAGCCAAACCGTCTCGACCGATACTCGCACTACATTTGCTTCGGAACGCTGATATTTACTGTGATAGCACCGAGATAATCCCACTAAGATCAAATGCATATTATGATTACAAAAACCATGTATAAACTTCCTGAGATCTTTGCTTTATAGTAATTACTGTTTGGGCCAAAAGAAAACATTTTGTTTAGTTTTTTTGTTCTACAAACAATACCAAACAGCTAAAGGTGAGAAATATAACACTCTGCTATCACACGCTTCTAAACAGATTACGATCAATAGAGAACGAAAAAGCCCCATGCATCAGATATGCCAATTTTTGTCACAAAAATCGTTTTTGGGCCTTATTTCAAACACATATGAAAGTACTTTGACGGCGGTAGGTACTAACTTAACATCGTTGGCGGCCATTTTGGCTAGTATCAGTCCACACTTTGGTTTTTCTCTGTAAAATTGACGAAAACCAGTCGCCTTAAGTTCCTGAAGGCCGCAGGCTTCATGATTGAGTAGCTATAAATGCACTTGCTGTGTAAAATAGAGCGTTTCAATATGTTATAAGCCTTCGAGGAATTCTAGACTGAAATTATAAAGGCTGCTGAACTTTTCATCTCAGTTTAAGCCGAATCATCGAAGCTGTCCTCTGGCGCTAGTCGAAGTTTAGCGAGGTTAAACGCTCGGTCATTTGGATGTAACACACAAAGTCTGGTTTGTGTTAACTCGAGTCATTAGGACTGACGAAATCTAGCAGATACTGTTCAAGAACAAGCTAATGTTTCAGGAAAGACAATTACTGACACACTGAACACACGACCGCTAATCCAAGGCCAGGATATACCATTTTGGAAAGACTGCTAAGCTATTTAAAGATTGGTAAATATTTTGGATAAACCACAGTGGTGTATATTTTTATTGTCAAGAAATGAGCCCATCTGATATCCATTTAGTTCAAAAATACGGAAGGTCATAATCCGACAAAATCCACAGTTTTCTCTCATTAGTAGGGGAACCAGCTGAAAAAACACTGGCAAAGCCAACCGATAACGAATAGCTCGCCTAACAGTATCGCCGTACTAAAAGGATTTCATAAAACTAAAGAACTCTTAATTAGCTCTCATTCCTCACTTGCCTAATCGCTTTTAGTGATGCCAACACGAGTAGAATTGTGGTTAAGGAGTAATGTACTTATGCAGTGCGGCGTCCACCATCTAAAAGAAGTGCAAAATACGTACAACACATTTATTACAAAACCAGTACTTTAAAATTAAGTCGGTAATTAGTGCAAGCCATTTTCCATAAAAAACCTCAGCCATGCGGGGTATTTTAGACCATTATTCGACAATAAAAGAGCCATATAGAATTCCAAGCTATTTAGCATTCAAAAATCAAGAAATACCTTTACATTGCATGGTGAGATTTTTTTATTACTACACACTTTGATTAATTAACGAAGCCTTTTAGAGTTAAATGCCATAAATAAAAAGGATAAGAATATTGAGTCTCACGCAGTTTATCAAATACTTCTTTCATTTTAGTGATTATAAATTGGGAAAAATTAGACTAAAAACTATGATTTCTATTTAGTTTTAATTTGAGCGATTGTGATGGTATCTTTTTGCTTCATCGTTGCTCTCAATCGTTTAAGTATAGTCTAATAGAGAACTACACTAGCTCAAGATAACAAAAGTCAAACTTACTTGAATTTGAAGGCTTTCTTATCAGTAACGTCAATTCTAACATTTGAAAAGGTTTTTTCAACCGAATAATTATAAAATCACCATAAGTTCGGCCTCTGGAGATTTGAAAAGGCTCAGATAAAGCAAAAAAAAAAAAAAAAAAAAAGAAATTTTGTACAATTAGATTACTTTTGCAGTATTTCATGTTGCGACATATCAGGTTAAAACAACCCAGACAAGAGCTTAATAGTTTTATACGAAAAAACTGATAAAGCAAATCTAAAACAGATATCGAATTGAAGTTTTTAAGCAATCAAATGGTTGATGATACATTGTAGCTTTCGCAGCTACAAAAATCCTTGAAGCAAAAAAAAAATTCCTAGAGAAAATCTCGGCATTCTTTCTAAGATCAATCTTATAAAAAGGAAATCATTAATTGTCCACACTGACAAAAGAGTTGAATAAGATTGATGTCTATTCCTACAGTAAAGTGCGTGGTTTTGTAAGTGGATTTTGGTTGACACATACAGTATCCGATAAGACAACGATCCGAGAATAAAGGAAAACGAGGAAAGCATTGCAAAACAAACTCAACCGGTCTCGCAGCCGCTTTGTCTTGAGTGACTCATAAACCAAATACGCAAAGAGACATTTTTTATGTACAGCTTACAAAGAAACAAAAGAAAAGCCCTCTTAAGTACAAGAATGCAAATGTCACGTCAAGTTTTTTTGGAGCATATTGAAGCCTATCTTGAAGTTTGATACAMCCAATCCGCAAACCGGCAAGTGCACAAAATCCTACAGTTCACTCTTCAGAAATATTGTTTAGAATTCGAGTGGTTTTTGTGTATGTTTACAGATATATTTTGCTTTGTTTTTTTTGAGTGAAGCGTTGCCCGAGGGTTAAAGAAAGAACAGTGTTCTAACTGAYCCTAGTTTTAACTGGTTCTAACTCCCGCTAAAAAATAAATAAAGGTTATGTAACTTAAAGAGCTAAGTTTCTCAAACACGTTAAAATTATATCCCTCCTTTTGATATAAATTCTTTGTGCTCTTTTGAGGGCTCGAAAATCGGTCACAGATGACTTGCAAACCTCTTCAGATCTAACAAAGCTAGACAATTAGACGCTCGCGTGTTTGTCCTCCGTGAAACAACACGAATAAATCTGTCTTCTTTATCTCAAGCGTATCGCCGTCATTACTACTCGGTCGAATGACTTCGAACACTTATTTATTTCATTTCTTATTGTTGTCCGTAAACACTAGTAATTTTCAATAAACGTGTTTGATCAAGTTGCCATTATTGACCAATCCTCACTTCTCATGTAGCTGAAGTACTTCTGGTGAACTGATTGTGGAATAAACAACCTCAAAGGTAAATTCAACAACCACTAGCTCTCCTGTTCGAGTATGAGAAAAGTGCCTCGTTTGATTTTATTGTACAGAAAATTCTTGTAGGGTCAGTTTGGCGGCGGACAGTCGCAAGTCGGTGTCTTTGAAGGCTTGACAAGCTCGATGATGTTCTAAGTCGAGGCAGTATATGACACCTTAACTGTGCTCAAGAATTCTCTCTATTGACATTGCAATAAAATCGACAAACAACTAAAATACCAAGAAATAGATCACTGGTAAAATGTCTGGTAGCGATCTGACAAATCGATGAGTTTCTGATTGTTAACCGGAAATACGTCGGACTTAGTTTGAGGACATGATCCTCTCTACCTCCTACCTTTAAATGGCGCTTAGGTCCCGAGTCGTGCCTAGCGAGTACTTATCTACTATAGTATCTCAAAACGATAATTGCATAATTATCACATTTTTGGATCTAAGCTTGATACAAGATGATTTTATCACATGGTTTGTAAACTTACCGGGAAAGTGACCTGTAGAACGGTCTTTAGTSATCACAGAATAAAAGACGACTCGCTCCTATTTCTCCTGCGGCTGTTACGTGTTTTTTAAACAATAGTCGAATATACCCAATGTGGTGGTTTGAACCCCAGAATTCATTTCTAAATACAATACTTAATAATTCATTGTTTATCGCGTTTTTTCAATGGCTTTCACCCTTACACACCATGCCACGATTCCGTGATGCTAATTTAATAGCTGTTTGTTCTGCCTTTATTTTGGATAAATATCCAACACGTCTTTACGGAAGCCATTGTGTTAAGTGTGAAAATTCTCATCACTCTGTTGGTAAACGATATGAAAAGTGTGAAGTCTTTTTTTGAAGGTGCTGATCAAAAGTGAAGCATTGTACTGAACTATGTAGAATTGAGCTAGTCATCAATATTTGATAAGCACGGCTGCCCGGTCTAATTTAATCACAGCCACTTTATGTAGTAGTGATGAACAGTGGACCGTGCTGCTTGGCACATTATTAGCACCGGTCTCGTAAAAACTCCCCACCACAATTCTGTCGCTTGGAAAATTTGTACATTTTAATAAATTGCCCGAGAGCCCACGRTGTCTACGAGCTGGCGACTTCTAATTAACAATTACCGAAGCAAAGAAAAATACTCACCAAACCACGGCAAAGGACCTTAAAAATCCTGATTTCTTTACACTATAAATACCCTTAAAGCAGTGACATAAGATTTGCCTCAAAGCAACCACGAAAACCTCCAACAATTAGAAAGGTGGTTAACGAAAATTAAGCATTGTACATCTGCAGAAATTAGCTCTGRAAGACAGGAGCCTGTGTCGTTCAAGTAATGAAAAAAAAATAACCCGTAATTTTACAAATGGAGTCGTCATTGTCAAACGCGTGACAGTTTATACATAAATGATGAAGCGAGCTATCATGGACTAACTCGGGTCTAATGGTTCTGTAATAGGCTTTTCACAAACACAGAGCCAGCTGGAGAACAACACACGATTCTTCTTATTGAACGAAAGAATTTTCCGAAGCACCGAAGTTGTGTAAGACGACTGCCATTATGAGAGCAGTGACAGCCAAAACAAACGCTAAATCCTGTGACTTATGATCACCAAACAAACAGTAGTCGGAACTCAGATATTGGATTATAGAAATCACTTGTGATAACGCGGACAGATTCAATAAATTTCGTTGGACGCATGTGTATAGGTATTTGTAAAATCACCTTGTTGTTTCGTAGACCAGAGCGATAAACCGATCAAACCCCTGGTGAGATACTCCACTGATACACTACGTTCGCTTGATCTGGCTGATTAAAGGCGAGTGAAAATGCATCTTTCAGCACAACCACTTTGAGAATTCATTTTCACGAGAATAGACTGGATCAAAGGACCGAGACCTGCTCAACAACGTCTTCTAGAGGCATGTGTTGACTTGACATTATTCAACGAGTTATCGCAGTACTCTACGGCATTACTACAATCGCGGACCTGCTTCAGCGTTGCAATGGGGTTTTCTACGCATTGTWAACTCACCTTTAGAGAGCGTTCAGCCTCCCTGAAAGAACCGAGCTCATCGCAGAGTGAATTATTCAGTACTAGCTTGTGTTTAAGTGAGAAGGCTAGTGTTACAGGCTATTTATAAGATTTTTGTGTTTGGGCGCCGATTTGGCGCCATGAGACTCGGTCTAATTCAGTGCTTTGTCTAAGTCCGGGCACATGCTCTGCTACGCCGAATACCAAGCACGCAAGATGTAGCTGAATTTACGGCGTGCAAGTTTATTTTCACTTGGTTGGCAGCGCGCACTTGCAAGTCGCTGTAAATCTGACCAGAATTGAGCGCACTACTTTAACATATTCCACTCACTCATGGCAAYATCACTCACGTATGTCGAGAGAACGATGGCGCCGAGTCGATGTATTCAGCTTAAAATGGAATGTTGATTAATTTATCGACCAATGACAATAAGTTTTGTCAACTGAGCATGTAACTTCCCAGAGCACGAATCACTGGGAAAAATGAAAAATAGCGCAAAAAGTTGCTTAAAAGTATTGAGACGAACATGTACGCACAYAGATTAGACCTTTGTTGAGCTGTCAATCATCGGGAATGCAAAATGTTGCCGTTGACATGGGTTTTTGGGAAAAGGTGTAAACCGGCACACGCAACCATAAATGACTTATCGATCTTAAAGTCGAGTATCCTTAACAGCAGACCACCAAACCATTGCCAGTTCGAGTTACTTTCTTGGCAAGGACAATAACTGACTCTATTTTTAGCCATTTCCGTGAAACATGAAATCTCAAATTAAATATGATTAATCACAGTTGCAAGGTTCGGTGATTTTAAAGCCGAAACTATTATTAAAAGATCTTCTAGTAATGTGTAATTTAGACTGCATTGTATAAAACTGATGTGTAACACTTTGATCTAGTTTTTTGTCTTTGCTGTGATTATCAGTTTTGGGGTTTCCAATTAGTGAAATATGAAAAATAAATTATATTAATCGAAAAAAGTTTCTTATCTAGATGACCATCTATGATCTCTGGAATCCTGAAGTTTGATGAACAGGCAAGTGAATCTGATCAAGTTTCAAAAGTAAAAGAGACTGGACTACGGGAAAAACCGATTAGCGCGCGAAGTAGCTCGTTTAGTTGCTAGTTCGTCTATTGCCGCGTCGTACTGCATCTGTCCTAACTGGAACCAAAAGGCCTCTCAACCTGCTATAAAAGACTACAGAAATCCATTCTTCAACAGAACGAGGATCAAAAATACAAAATTAATGACATAGAGCGGAATTTTGTAAATATCATGTTGACCTAATCAAAGTGGAGACATACTTGTGACATCTGGAGAGCTGAACAACCGAGCGTGTCCTCGATGCAGTTCAACGCCAATGACGGGAGAATGGWAACGAGAGCCTTCACTCTTGACATTGATATGTTGAAAATTGGAAATTGTTTGAATAACTAGTTCGATCATCGAGACTCGAGACGCCATTCAACAATTTTGTGCATTTCATCTCTACACTCGTTCAAGGCGGGGTTTCCTTGACAAGACACACACCTCTCAAATCTCGACATGGACGGCGATCGTCCATGTAATGCCACAGTGATCATGACCAAATAAACCTGCCTCTTCCACAAAACATCATTTTTAAGATGACGGCCTAAACTTTTCCGCGTCAATTACTTGTTGTCCAATTTGACTGCCTTTGAGGTCAGTGCAATTAGGAGTGAAAACTTTAAACTAGCTACTATGGTTTTGGAAGCTTTCAAGTTTATTTTCTCTTCATATTATCTTTGTTTTAGTAGTTTTTACAATCAATTTGGCATCAATAGCGGTTAATTATACACAAGCATCGTAACAGTAATAATATAAGTGATGAGAATATGATTATTAAGAACTATGACCATCAAATTTCACGACATCCTCAAACTCTTACAAATGTCGCCTCAAACTCCAAAACATCATGTAAAATTCTTCAAAGTRAAATCAAAAACAAAACGGAGTATTTGTTTTTTAGATGGGATTAACGGGTCTCGTACGTTGAAACATCAATTGTCGACACAGTACTAACTACAGGTCAGAATGATGGAATTGAAAAAACCCTACGAACCGCACAGTGACAGTCCCCTTATTATTCCTATCACATCGCTATTGCATCCATTTGATGTGATATGAAGATATGCCGTATGGTGTTTCATCTCTAGATTATTAATCTTTGGAACATAAACGCTTATTAAGTCGCGTACAAGAAGCAAGTCGAATGCCTACACCAGATAGCCTTCAAATCAATCGTGTTTTCTTCATCTTGTTTTAGACTTTATCTCAGATAAACTAACTGATATTTCAGCTTAGATTTCATAATAGTTTTTGTGAATCGTAGTTGATAGAAGAGTTTTTCTTAAAAAATTAGTTTGATTCCCTTGTTGCGTTATTGTGGTTTCTGCCTTCGGCTTAACAGTAGTGGATCGTTGAGTACGCGTTAATGTTGCTCAATATGTAAACCATGATCCGAAACCATATTTATTTATATTCATCAGGCCTTTTTCAAAGCAATGCCAAAATTAGAAATTTTCTTATGCATAAAAAGAAGACAGATTTATTGTTAAGTTACATTTGGAGAGACCTTGAGATAAAAGTGAGATTAAAGTCTTGAAATGCTAGGCTGACATGAAAAAGAAAAAAAGGCCTTACCTTTGACGGTGATCTGCGATGCGTTCAGCGTGAAGGATCTCTCTAACTGAGTGGTCCGCCGTCAGTTGGTGGATTTAAATCAGAGAAATCGATTAACTCCAACAAAATGATTCATTTGGAAGTTGCTTATAACGCAAATTAACCAAATTAAAATCGATCTCATTATTATGCGTGAGGATCGGCCGTTGATTGGGGGATAAACACAAGAGTTGGGCCAACGAAAGGCCAGTCACGTGACCTAGCAGCTGCTATACAGCAGTCCTTACATCTAGCCTTTTTGAAGGGTTTACAAAAACGCAGTAATCAAAATTAATTTAATAAGAGCATTGAAAAAAGACACAAAACAAAACGTTTCCAAATTGGACTCACGACGAAAAAGACTTGAATATTTGGATCGGAAAACATGTAGAAAAGACACCGCACTACACTTTCACGGCTAGTAAGATCTTTTGAAATGAATCATCAGTGCTTCTAAGTTAGGATCACATCACATAACAAACAAACGAAACTTGGACTTATTGTCGTGTCTTATCTATCCAGAATAACCGGAAAGAGCATACATATTCCATCATCTGATCGAGCTCAGTCTGATAACAGCCTATTCTATACTTTGTATGTACATTCTACATAATTCCACGGCCAGTTTTTTGTCACTTTCCTTCATGTTGATGAAGATAAACCGTAGATAAATCATGCTATTTTGTATATAAATTTACCTAATCTCCCTAGCAAGATGACTTTATACGAAGGCAATAAATCTACAAAGTTTACAACGAACGCCTCTTGTTTTAATGCTAATGCCTCTTCGGTCAAAATCTCCCCAAAGGAAAATCCTCACTTTGAAGATGTAGTTTTATACATAATAGCTTCCTGAAATACCATGTCACTGGTAATCTTAACCAACGAGTATATTGTTTCTCATCTTACCCTCCATTAGCGGAATATTGGTTAGACAAAGTGTGAATTTAAAGTTTAAGAAATTGGTCAAGATATACAAAGTGTAATCTACTCCATCGCCGGTCAACTGAAAATGGCAAGTTAAAGTCTCGCATATCTATCGGTATTATATCAGACCAACAATATAATAATAACATTCCTAGAAATCACTGATAGAAGGCAACTTCGTAGATCAGATTTGGGAGAAATATGGATGAGGAAGTGGAACGATTTTTCTTAAAACGGTGCGTAAATGCAACTAAGTTGAGTCTTTGTGAATTGGTCGCATCGTCAAGCGCATTTTTTTTTTCGTTTTTGATTTTTAGGTCTTGGGTATTTTGCTAGCTGATATTTTCATCTACCAAAAATGAACATTGCAATTATTTCGATACATCTTAACACCGAGGGGAATAAATCAAGTTTTTTTCTCTGTATTTTTCAATCGTCAAAAGTTATATCAACATTCGCTGGAGATTTTTCAAACTTCGCCGTGTTTGATCTGTGGATGCTAGACAAATAAAACGTTTGGAGCGTATTTTTCAGTTTTCCTTTTGTTGACAGACCTATCGAAGCAACGGACAAAGGCTTTAAACAAGGTTTAGAAGATATAAAAGATTTGAAATGCACTGTTATGAATAAGCGTTGAAAAGTGTTGAAACTTAATCCTGCGAAAATGACATCAATTGCGTCAACTATTGCTGAACAACTGATCATTCAAACAAACTCACAGACAGTACTCAATGGTTAGACACATGACAAATTCAAAGTCATGAGCGCAAGCCAAATTTAAGGCAAACGAGTGAATATCCTGACATTTATAGCTTAAAAACCTGTTAAAAGAGTCCCCTGAGATATTTCTACAAGAAGGTCAATTATAACGTGCGAACCAGTAAAACTTCAAAGCTATTCATGCAGAAGACAACAACGATCATCATAGCACAATGATTACTCCGTAACGGACAATACAATTTGTTAAAGTTTATTTCAACCAATAAAGCCTTTCGCTCGACTACAGTCCATCGAAACATGAAAAAAAAATAGGCTTACTTGACACGATGAAAGACACGAATGTTAGTCTGATCTGAACACAAGACACTAGCATGTGCACGACCTTTTATCAAAACGAAAAAAGAGATATACATAAGCTATGGACTTTTGRTCTTTGCGCTATAGGAATAATAACATTTAATTAGGCAATTTTCGTCAAATTATTTTCAGTCAGCAAAAGAATATAGTGATGCTTATTACCTTAATGTCCGTATTAAAACGACGGCCGTCCCTTCTTTGACTCGACCAAATTGGGATTTGCCGCAAATGTCAAATTTCCCTTAATAATAACTGGATTGCTCACGTAAAAAGGCTAGCGACTCGCTACTTGATTTTATTTTGTTTGTCATTTAGTAGGGGTGCGGTCCGTTTTTATTACATACATAATGTTATCGTTATTCGCTATTTCGACCGGATTTCTTAAAAAAAAAAGAATGTAAAACAGCCATGGAGACGTGTTTTGGGACTGTTTTTGACATGAATATATTTCAAGTCATTTGGCTTTCAGAAGCAAATATATTAAGTTGGTCTTGTCCCAGCAGAAATGAACACTTATTTTCTTCCCACGTATTTGTTCGATAAGATCGCTCCTGCATTAATTTAGAAACATATTCCAATTCACTGCCGATGTTGCAGATTCAACACCAGATAACTCCACTGTTTTGACGGTTTGGAAACTGAGGCCTTTCGTAAACAGTTCGGTTTGAAAACTTAGCTTCCGGAAGCTCACCCATGCCGTCTTCAGTTTTAAGCTCCAAGGAGTATAGTTCTGGGAGCTCTCTCACTATCGTTTCATCTTACTATCTCTTATCTCTGCGGGAGATGGGTTCATCTTGAAAAAAGTGAAGGCTTGGAGAAACTAATATCTCAAATTTCCTTTATTTATTTTTCTTTGCTGCACTTATGAGCTCAAAAACTACAGTAAAAATAACTCTATCCTTGAACTTGGTTTTCCTGCCTATTCAAGACTTAACAGTCTTTGTGGGATATTTTACTGTGATTATTAACGGCACGGAAAACCCTTAGACCCTTGATTCTTTAATTAAGTCATTTGTTTTTGCTTTTTGCAATCAAAAAGGGCCGTGAGACAAACTATGGGACGGCTAAAAAACAGTTATCAAATCGAAT